GGGGGGCAACCACCCCCGCGAGGGGAAGGACCACCCAGCAGGCGGGAAGGAAAAAAGGCCACCCAGGACAGCCCAGGGAAGAGGAACAGGCCACAAGGGCGGCGGCGGGGAACCCAGCGAGGAGTTCCGCCCCGGCGGGAGCAGTCGGTCCAACCCAAAGATAGGGAGGAGGGGCGAGGCGCTGCCGCGCGCCTTGCCCTCCGGCATGATCCTCTCCTTGGACTGCTTGATCCAGCCGGCGCCGAACTCCTCGCACGGCTCCTCCGTCACGGCCTTGTAGCCCTTGCTCTTGCCTCCGCCGCCCTTGGCGGGCGCGCCTTTCCCGCGCTCCTCGCTGCGCTCCTCGCCGCCGCCGCCGTTGCCGCCGCCGCCCGCCGTCGCAGCCATGATCTTGAGCCGCTGCTTCGCCGGCACCGCCGCCGCAGCGCTCTCCGCCGGACGCTTGTGGCCGCCCGACCCGCCCTCTGGCGGCGCCTCCGGATGCGCCGAGCCTCCCACCTCCGCACCGGCGCCGGTGGCCACTCTTGCACCCACCCCGCCGCCGCCGCCCTCAGCCGCCTCGCGCGCCGCCGCCGCGCGCTTTTCGTACGGAGCCTTCTGCGCGTCGTCGAGGCGCTTCCACTTATTGCGCAGCCGCACCTCGATCTGGGCGCGCCGCCACTTCTTAGCGCCGTTCTGAAAAATGAGGCCGCCCGCCGCCTGGACCAGCTCCCGCCGGCCCTCGCATGCCTATGGCGAGAGAACACTGTCGGTGAGGAGATGCAAGGGAGCGTGCGCGAAGGCGCGTGCACGGGGCCAGCACGCACCTTGGGGTCGCCGCCGAGCAGCTTGATCACATGACTCAGCTCCTCGTCCGGCATCGTGCCCAGATCGGGCGTGTCGTCGTCGTCGCCACCGCTCTCCGCGTGCTCCGGCTGCTCCTTCTTCCACAACTCGTACGCGGTCTTCGCCTTCTTCGCCTTCTTCGCCGGCGACGGGCCCGACGCGGGGCGCTTGCACATCACTGGGGTTGGCGCGTTTGCGGAGAGATTCTTTTTTCCAGGTATTACCTGTGTCGAGCCTGTCTGCACAGTGAGAGAGATTGTTTTGTTTAAATTCTTCTTTTTGTCGAGCCTGTCTGCTGTGAGAGAGACTTGTTTTGTTTAAATTCTTCTTTTTGTCGAGCCTGTCTGCTGTGAGAGAGAGTTGTTACGTGCACATTTTCTTCTTTTTGGAGAGGCACGATTGAAGAGCTTGCAGCGGGACGCCTTGCCTTTGACGGTGTACTTACTCGAACCCTGCCTGCGCGGGCCAAAGCGCGGTGTGCTGCGACCAAGAGGAAGGAGCTGAGGTGGGGGGGCGGGTGGGGGGGGGTGTGGGGGGGGGGGGGGGAGGCGCGCCGGTGCAGCCGCGGCTGAAGCGACACCTGTCGTGGCACCCCAATAAATAGCCCGAGAAGCAGGGTGGCCTCCTGCGCTTGAACATTGCGCAGCGCGGCTGCTGGTGCTCGTGGGCGGCCGTGCGGTGGCGTGAGGGCCTGATTGGTGGTGACCTCGTGCTGCATCAGCGTGCGCAGCATGCTCCCTCACCCGGTGCTGAGACATGCTGGTGGGCGACTGGCGCCAGCTTCTCAGTGCTGTCCTGGGCGGTGTGCAGCATGTCGCAGTACTCCTGTTGCGCTGACCGGCGCGCGGGGTGCGTCGTGCCGCGAGTGGAGCGAGAGGCTCGAGTCGCGCGGCTGTCGGTCAACCCTGCGGCGCATGCGCGCAGCCAAGGCTGCTCGACAGGCGACTGGCATTGTGGCGACGCGGTCGCCGTTACTCCAACTTTGCTTTGCCGATCAAAAGCGCCCGTCCTTTGCTTTTTAGCCGCCGAAATTTAGCGTGCTGTTTTTTCTTTATAGGCGCCTGCAACTTCCAAGCTGCGTATTCTTGTATTATCGTCGAGTAGTACAGGTACTCCGTGGGGCAGTGTGTATTCTCGTAACATGTGCGTATTCTCGTATCACTGGCTCCGAGTAGAAAAAGAAAGAAAACATCACATTAGCTCCGAGTAGAGGGGGCGTCCTGCAGTTAAGGGGAAACCCGGTACGCGGGGCCAACCCTCGGAGACCCGTGTTTACTTTACGGCCCTTTCCCTGCGAATGCGCACCCCCCCTAGCTAGGGGTCAGGGCTCTCTAGCCCGTAGCCCGATGCCGATCATCCGGCTCGCTGGGTGCGCTTCTTAGCTCCCCGGCCCTGGATGTGAGGTTGCCGACTGCACTCCAAGTGCTCCAAGTGCCAACAACCTCCCGGTCCTGCCCAACGTCTACGCGAGCGGCGATGTCGGCGGACCTCCTCGCCTCGATGTCGGGTGTCAAGGTCCTCGGGAACAAGCTCTGCCCATCGTGCCGCGCCTTTGCGACGACCAGCGACGACATCATCCACGACGCGCAGTGCGCCGCGCAGGCACTCATCCACTCAAGGCCAGGCGCGCCGTAGCGGCGAACGTCGCCAAGAAGAAGACCTTCCAGAGCGTCATCGTCGACAACAAGGTCGAGGTCGCGCGCGCGGCGGGCAAGGTCAAGGCGATGGCGGCGCGCGACGGGATTGGCTTTTGCCCAAACTTCAACCAGACCGCCCTCCCGTGCAAGACCAGCGCTCGCTGCCGCTACGCGCCGTGCGTCAACTTTGAGGCGCTACACACCGCCTTCAAGGACACAGTCTACGAGCGCATGCCGAGCGCGGTCAGGCTGGGCACGAGCCGCGGGCGGCGCGCAGACCGGCGCGGCGGACGCGGCCGCGGCGGCACCAAGAAGGACTGGGCGAGTATCGCTCGCGGAGCCGCCCGCTCCCCCTACGACGGCGGCCCACGCCTCGAGTCGAACGAGGCCTCGCTCTACGAGGGGAGCGACGAGGAGTTCTAGGAGCGGCCGCCGAGTTGGTGCCTGGGTGACCTGCTGATGAGAGCGCCTTCCAGGCGGGTAGTCGTGCCCCTCACCTAAGGCCATACGGCGGCGTCAGAGGGGGGGAGGGGCGCGAAGGGTGAACATGGAGGCAAGCAGGTGGTGGGCATGCACCTGGCCAAAGCCGGCGACCTCAAAGTTGTCGTTGCTTGTGCGGAGCGTGAAGGGGACCGGATCGGCAGCAGCGCGGGCGGCAAAGGCCGGAGAGGCCGGAGAGCCGTCCGACGGAGGCCGGTCGTGCATCGGCGCGTCGGCCGTAGGGGCCGTGGGGGGGGGGCGGCATCCATCGCTGCGGGTCGCTGCGGGCCGACGATTGTGGACTGATCGATCGTCGGCGGGCGGTGTTCAGCTGGGACGTTCTACGGTTAAACAGTGAGCGTCGGCGCGGACACCAGAGACTTATAAGGGTAGATATAAACAACCCAAAATACATACGCGCGCGCCGCGGAGACGAGATAAATAACCTGCGATAACCCCGGACCACTGGAATCTGGATAGCGGGCACAGCAAGTCCAAAAAAAGTCCCGAGGAAGCAAGTGGAAGGCTGGAAGACCTCGCCACAGCTTGCCCCCTCCCCCGCCCTCGCGCTCGGGCCTCGCTCCACACCCAGGAAAAGCTCAACCACAACTCTGGACTGACACGCTCGCGCCACGCGTCCCTCTCCTCACAACGCAATGATTCCGCCACCCGGAGGGTTCGCCACCAACCTTCAGCTCTTCAAGAGCCTCCTTCTCAACCTGTCGGCCACGGCTCCACTGCTGCGCCTCGTCCCGCCCTCGCTGCTGGCCCGCGCGAGAGCGAGCGGCCGCGAGCGGCTGTGCAATGCGACCGTCGACTTCAACGTGGAGCACAACCTGGTGCTTCCGGGCGGCCGGGACGCTCAAGGCGCCCGTCCCGGCATCTGCCCCGACCGCGTCACGTCAGCCGACGGCACGCCGTACCTTGTTCGCCTCAAAAACGCCGGCGCCTTCCTCCACAGCGATGTCGCTGTCGAGTACTCTCGTCCAAACATAGAGCACCTCGCTCGCTCGGGCCACTTCACGCCGCAGGAACTCAGCAAGCTGGTGTACATCCCGCCACTGCCGTGGACGTACGCGCCCGGCGCGGCGCACACGCGCGACGTGCGCATTCTCGTCACCTTCTCCTCTGACGTCGGGGACCCGCGCCGGCGGCAGCTTGTGGCGCAGCTGCGGGAGCAGGGTATCAACGTCACGTGGGCGACGGGGCTGCCGCCGAGCAGCGCCGCGATGCGGGCACTGCTGGATCGAACACGAATCCTGCTGAACGTCCACCAGACCCCGCACCACCACACGCTCGAGGAGTTCCGCCTGCTGCCCGCCCTCTCCCGCGGCGTGGTGGTCGTTTCAGAGGCGGTCCCTCTCCGCGAGGCGGTTCCGTACGGCGACCAGCTGCTCTTCGCGCCATACGAGCAGCTCGTTGAGAGCGTGCGAGCGGCAGACCGGGATTACGACCAGATCTTTGAGCGCATCCACGGCGCGGCCGCGCCCACGCGCGCGCTCTTGCAGAAGATGCGAGAAGACGCCCGCGTCGACCTGGCGGCACGGCTGCAGGCGCTGCAGCGGCGGTGCGCACGTAGGCCCGACCGGCGGTTGCAAGGGGTGGCGGTAGGGTCTCATCCAGCTATCAGTTCCACGCCGCGGATGGATCGGTGCGCCCACAGGCCCGATGGCCACTTGCAATCGGCGGCGGCGCCGGCGACGGCACATGTGGGAACCTCGCCGGGCCTCGAAACACAGCCGGACCTGAGACTCCCGCCGTCGGTCTTTCCCGCCACACCCTCGTATGACAGACTCTTGGCTTCGCGCTACTTCTCGAGCGCCACGCTGGTGCGACAACATCCGATCAACTGCAGTGGCGTCGACTTGCTCGTCGTGCCCGCCCCGCTGCGCGGGCAGGGGCTCGGCTCGACCCTGCACGTATGGTCGCAGCACCTACGCAACGCGTGGGGTGCGGGGCGCGTGGCTGTGCTCTCGAGCGACGTGATGCAGTCCGGCTGGCAGTGGGCCGAGGGCGTGCCAGGTTGCAACCAGAGCCGCGGCTTCGAATGCCTCTTTCTACCCCTCAGCTCTCCCGCGTGTGTCCGCCTCGCGCGGGAGCACCCTCGTGCTCCAGCTGTGGTGTGGGAGTCAGAGGGCAGTCCCAGGAGACCGTCCAGCCAGCAGTGGCCACTTGATCTGGAGGCACTGCGATACCTGCTGCGGCCCAGTCCGTGGTTTCGTTCGTGGCTATCGGCACGCTACGCCGAGTTCTGGGGAGGGGTGGCGGCGGGAGACGAGAGCGGGAGGCGGATTGATCGCGAGTCGCTCATCTCCGTTCACATTCGCTGGGGCGACAAGATGATCGAGGCGGGTCTGAAGCCGGTCTCCACCTACGTCGAGAGCGTGCTGCGCGTCGTGACGGAGCAGCGCATCGCGAACCCGCTGGTCTTCCTCAGCTCTGAGGACGGGTCGGCGGTCGAGTTGTTTGAGCAGGCTGCCGGGCGGTACGGGCTCCGCATCGTCTCCTTTGCATACGACCGGCCTCGGATGAACTGTGGCGGCATCAACCTGACAAGCACCCTCGGGCTTCAAGGGAAGGGCGTCGAGCAGTTTCGGCCGCCGGGGGCGAGCTACCTCGAGCGGTGGAAGCAAACCCATCACCAGGGCGTCTGCCCGCACCTGCTGAACTACGCCCGGGAGCACGACGTCCCGCTGGGCCCAATCTCGCTGTTGAATCTGTACCTCGCCTTGGAGAGCAAGTACGTTGTCTGCGATACGGCGTCCAACTGGTGCCGGCTGCTCCACGAGCTCGCGGACGAGGTCGCCGTAATGATCCCGTTGCGCGTTGGGCCGCGCTGAATTACAGAGCCTGAAAAACCAAACAGGGGCGTGCCGACGATCTGACAAAATATCTCTGAGAGATGAAGAGCTGAAGAGCTTGTCTCTGTGTGTCCGGTGCGCACACCTCCAAGCTCCATGCACACACTACTGGGCTGGGTTTTTAGGCATTGTGGGGTTGGCACTCCCATCGATCCTCATGACCTCCTGCGGTCTCTGAGATGGACACCAGTGGGTGTGGGACCACAGCCAGGATACACTCGAAGGCTGGGTAAGCAGTAGAGGTCGATACTCGACGCGTCCCACATGGTATGTGTCGCTGTCGGCACGCTGTCGACAGGACGTCGAGCGACACCGGTGGCAGTGCCACCCAGGAGTGGTCGGGCGGTCTCCCGTCATGAGAGAGCCACCATGTGATCCGTATGATGATTCCTGACAACCGCCTCAGTCAACTTTCGTCACAGTTCCCGCTCTGAGAGGAGCTGCGGGTCAGTTCGACAGCTGGAGCTGTGTCGCCGGCGTGCGGCGGCCTGCCTCCGGGGGTGCCTCTGAGGTGGACATTTCTTGGTCACCGTGAGAGAACGCGTTCGAATTTTTACTCCGGAACTTAAACTTCACACGCGCACCGGCCAGGGCTACAATAGTGCCAGTGAGGCGGAGGCGCGAGTCGGAAGGCCGCGACCGTCAAGTGGTTTCCCAATTTCCTACCCGGTACAATCACGGTGAACCCAGCCACGTAGTCACCCTCATCCCTCTCCATGTGAGCGTACGCGTAAAAGCTGCACCGCGGCCTCTGCTACTAGTGCTTACGCCGCGCGCGCCCTCACACCGAATACACACACAAAAACCGACTCGGTGCAAATAAAAAGAGGGTGTCACCGCCGCTGCTCGTCGTCCTCGACGCCGAGCAGCCACTTCGCCTTACTCAGCGCGAGAAACCCCACCGCATTCGTTGGGAAGGCCTTTAGCACGGTGACGTCCGCGCCGCGGAAGAAGCCGCGCAGAGCGCCGTGCTCGCGCAGCACGGCGCGGGTGTGGAAGAGGACGCCGCCGCTCTCGGTCGCCATGAGCCGCGAGCGCACCACGTCGACCGGCGAGAGCAGGAGGTTGAAGAGGACGCCCGTCGCTCCGCCGCAGAGCAGGCGTGCCAAGGCGGGGCTGATGGGGCTGCCTTCGCGGCTGATGCGCTCTCGCACGTTTACGTCGAGGCACTCGTGCAGCAGGAAGAAGACGCCGTTGCCGGGGAGGTTGCGGACCGCGGTGAGCGATACGCCGCGCCAAGCATTCCGCGCCGTCGTTGGCGGCGGCGGCGGCGGACTATCGCCGCCGTAGGATGTCTGCAGCTGCGTCCGCCACACATCGAGAGGATTCTGCAGGACCGTGAGCGACACGCCTGATCCAAAGCCAGCGCCGAAGACGCCAGCGTAGAAACTGCGCCACTCGGCGCCGGAACCAGTGGCCAGGCGCGGGCGTTCCGGCCGCAGCGCACTGTAGGTGCCGAAGAGCAGCGTGCTCGATGGCAGAGAGATGAGAATCTGAGGCGTCAGTCCCTTCCAGAGCGCCAGCACGCCTTCGGTGCGCACTGTGTGGGTCAGGCAGTGCCACGCCGAGCGGAACCGCGCCTGGGAGGTGGTCTGAAGCCTCGTGCGGATGACGTCGAAAGGAACTCCGATGCCGGCCCACGCGAATGCAGGAGCGGCGCTGGCTGCCCACAATCGGCCGGTGCGACCCGGTGCGGGCGGAGCGGCTGCTGTTGAAGCGGCCGACAGATCCCCCTTACACACGCGGTTTGCTTCGGCGTCGGTGTGGTACATCGCGCGCGCGCTCGCTCGACACACACATAACAAAACACAATCGATTTGCTAAAAATCTCTCTCTCACACGTGTCGGTCTCGCCGAATCACCCTGGCCCCTGCCGCAGACCTGGCATATGCCTCGAGCGCCCCTACGTCGATGGGGCACCGAACCCTCCGGGTGACCGGTCTCCTCTCTCGCCAGATCCTAGCGTGTTCCTTCCCCCTGAACACGTCGTTGAGCAATTCGTCCTTTTGCCTCCCGCAGTTCCTCACCGGGGAAATTCTTTTTCTCGCGATGTCCACCCCGCCGCGGCGCCGCTCGCGCCGCCTCGCCTCCGCTTCCACCGCCGCCCCCGCGCCGAGCACGCCGCCGCCCGCCCGCCTCCTCGACCTCCCCACGGAGCTCCTCGTGCGCGTCTTCTCTCGCTGCGACCCCGCCGACATCGCTCGCGTCGCGGCCGTCTCGCTCCTCTTCCACGCCTCGCTCGCGGAGCAGGGCATCCGCTTGTGGGCGCAAGAGCGCGGCTTCGAGCTGCCGGCGCAGCCAGAGGGCGAGGGCTGCCCCGTGCGGTGGCTGTGCTATTCGGCGTTGCTGTGCGAGTCCAACCCGCCGGTGAGGGCGGCGGCAGGCGCTCGGCACAGCGTCTTCATCGACGGCGAGGGGCGGCTCTCGTCGTGCGGAAAGGCTGAGAGCTGGACGCCGGGACTGCTCGGGCACGGCGAGGGCGTGACGCAGCTCAACACGCCGACCCGCCTCCTTTCCTCCCTGGGCGGCGAGCGTGCCGTGAGTGTGTCGGCGGGAGAGAACCACAGCCTCGCCATCACCGCTGACAGCGCTGTTTGGAGCTGGGGCTTTGGAAGCCTCGGCATGCTGGGCCACGGCGACTGGCAGACCCAGTGGCAGCCAAAGAAGATCGAGGCCTTTGCTGGCCTGCGCGTCGTCGCTGTGTCGGCTGGTTTTGACCGCAGTTTCGCCATCGCCGCCGACGGCGCCGTCTGGAGCTGGGGCCGTGGTACCTCCGGCCTGTTGGGCCACGGCGACGAGCAGGGCCAGCTGCTGCCAAAGAAGGTCGAGGCCTTTGCTGGCCAGCGCGTTGTCGCCATGTCAGCTACACTCTTCCACAACCTCGCGATCACCGCCGACGGCGCCGTCTGGAGCTGGGGCGAGGGCGGCCACGGCTGCCTAGGACACGGGGAGGACGTGTCGAATCAGCTGCTGCCCAAGAAGATCGAGGCCTTTGCTGAGCGGCACGTCATCGCCGTGGCGGCTGGACACTACCACAGCCTCGCCCTCACCGCCGACGGCAGTGTCTGGAGCTGGGGCCGCGGAAGCATTGGCCGGTTGGGCCACGGCGACCAGCAGACCCAGTGGCAGCCCAAGAAGGTCGAGGCGTTGGCTGGCCTGCGCGTCATCGCCGTGTCAGCTACACTCTTCCACAACCTCGCGATCACCGCCGACGGCGCCGTCTGGAGCTGGGGCAGTGGAGGCTACGGCCTGTTGGGCCACGGCGACCAGCGGACCCAGCTGCTGCCCAAGAAGGTCGAGGCCTTTGCTGGGCAGCGCGTCGTCGCTGTGTCCGCTGGGGTCCGCCACAGCCTCGCCCTCACCGCTGACAGTGCTGTCTTCACGTGGGGCCAGGGCGAAGACAGCTGCCTAGGACACGGGGAGGACGTGTCGAATCAGCTGCTGCCCAAGAAGGTCGAGGCGTGGGCGCCGGGGCAGTGATGAGAAGGGCGGTAGGGTGCAAGTGACGGTCAGTGTTGCCCCCTTCTCCGGCTGCCCCGTGCTATGCGCCGAGCCCCGCGGCTTGCCGTGCGCCCTCCTGCCCCCCTCCGTTGCTGGTCTCGGTCGGAATGGAGGCCGTGAGGGCCTCCCCCCCCCGCCCGCGGCTCGCGCGCGGGCACGGTGACGGTCTCCCGCGCATGTGTCGCGCACAGTCATGCCATCTGCTGCGAGATACATACGCACCCCACCCCGCCCCACCCCGCACCCGAGAGAGAGAGAGAGAGAGAGAGAGAGAGAGAGAGAGAGAGAGAGAGAGAGAGAGAGAGAGAGAGAGAGAGAGAGAGAGAGAGCAAGTGGGTGATCTGATGCTTGTAGAGCTTGAGAGTGGCCTGCCATGTCACAAGAAGGACCCTGTGGTTGCAGGAGAGTACCACCAACCATCACTCTAGTTGGTATAGTACCCCACCTTCACCCATCGAGTGTTTTCTTTTTTAGTTTCCCATAAGTAAGGTAGGTAGGTAGGTGTAGGTAGGTAGGGGCAGGGCAGGGCCGCCGGCCAGGTTTTTGCAGAATTTCATCATGAGGCCCACCCAAGCAAAAATAAAATACACCTGATCTCACAGTAGAGAGGTGTCAGTTATTATTATTATTAAATACCACAAACGAGCAACATCCTCGCGTGCCAATGAGCAATGTCTGCGTCAAGAGTCGACGTGCAGCACGTCCCGCATCTCGCGCATCGCGGCGACCATGCAGTCGGCGAAGCCGGTCGAGTCGCGCTGGTACGTCATGATCTGGCCGCCGCAGCCGTCGGCACGGATCACGTACCCGACGGCGAAGCAGTCGGGGTGGAAAGGCCCGAAACCGCCGTTTGCGAGGGCGGGCGAGGAGAGGGTCGAGGTGGAGATGACAATCTTCGAGAGGCGGCGGTACGCCTCCGACTCGAAGAGGGGCGGCGCGAGCCCTCGCTCCGCCGCCATCCGCTGCAACACCCACAAGTGGCGGTCCATCCCGGCGCCTACGTAGACAGACAGCCGAGTCGGCGCAAGGGGTGCACTCCCCTCGCGCAGAGATCCGTACCCGTGCCGGCGCGCGCCGATGAGCGCGTCGCGGCTCACGCGCGAGTGGTTGCGCACCGCGGCGCGCATCGCCGCGGCGCGCGCCGACGGCGTCGCCGCCGGGTCGGTGAAGGCGTCGGTGAAGGCGCGCGACTCTGGCGTGGCAGCCCTGGGGGGGGGGGGGGGGGGGCATGCCCTGGACGTGTCATGGGGACATTTCGTGGGCGCGGCGCGACTGCTGGCGGTGCGCGCCGGATCGTCTCTGTGCGGCCGTGCTTGAAGGCGGCGGTGGAGGCGGACTCGTAAGTCGAGACGGTCCTGGCGAGTCACAGCGGGTTGAGATCAATCGGTGGCTCATGCATGCATCGGGGCCGTGCGTCGAGACGACCGGCCACTCATCTTAGCCATCGCGAGCTGGAAGGACATCTGCATCATCCCGTCGGGGGAGACGCCGCCCTTCTTGAGCGCCGCCGTAGTGAAGGCGTCCGTCATCACCTGCAGCGGCGGCGGGCGGAGGTCCAGCCGGGGACGTCCCGAGGCCTCGCAGGGTCTGCGAGCCGGGACGAGAAGAGGGAGGAGGACCAAGGGGCGAGGCCAGAGGGGGGGGGGGGGGGCGGGTGGAGGCGTAGCGGAGGCTCGCCGTCGCGAGGACCGGCTGCATCTCGGCTGCATCTCGGCTGCATCTCGGCTGCATCTCGGCTGCATCTCGGCTGCATCTCGGCTGCATCTCGGCTGCATCTCGGCTGCATCTCGGCTGCATCTCGGCTGCACCTCGGCTGCATCTCGGCTGCTAGTTGGAGGCGCGCCGTCGCGAGGTCTGTGCCGGCGATGGTCGCATCGAAGCGGCGGCCAGCCTCCTCCACCGCCGCGGCGAGCGGCGGCGGCAGCTCAAAATCGAGCCTGCGCGGCGGCGCGGCGGGCGGCGCCGGCGTGTCCGTCGGCAGCGCCGTCGAAGCGTCGAACATCTCGTTGGCGAGGCGCAGGACCTGGTGCAGCGAGTCGCCTCTGCTGTGCAGTGTGGTCCATCATGCAGCGCCATCTCGCTGGCTGGGGGACCGAGACGCCGTCGCCCCACGAGTGCTCAAAGTTGATGGCCGCCTTTGCGTTCTCGGTCACCACGAGCTGGAAGGACTTGTCGAACCAGCGGTCGATCCCGCGCCTGTAGGACACGGCGTGGACGTGTCGTGGACGTGTCGTCGGACTCGTCGAGCCAGCCGTCGATCCCGCGCCCGTGCAGCATCGCGCGGTTCACCTCGCCCAGCTCCTCTGGCGACGACCTGTGCGGAAGCGGCGAGCAGCGCCCCTCACTCGCTCGACGAGGTGCGGTCCGTGCGGCGGCAGCGGCGGGCGAGAGTGGCGGCGAAGGTATGGGCGAGAGGTGAGAGGATGAGGGCGAGAGGGTGAGGGTGAGAGGATGAGGGTGAGAGGTGAGGGTGAGAGGGTGAGAGTGAGAGGTGAGAGGTGAGAGGTGGAGGTGCGAAGGTTTGCGGCGCGTGTCACCCGTCCAAGCAGACAGCGAAGAGCGCCTAGGGGCCGTGTCCAGAGAAGGGTGAGGGGAAGGGGGCAGAGGGAGAGGTGCACAGGAGGTGTCCGAGCAGGTGGCTACAGGCGCCTCGTCGATCTGCTTGAGCGAGGCTGCGTTGGCGGGCGCGGCGGCGCACAGCTGCTCGCGGAGCGCCGCCCACTCGCCTGTTCTCGCGCACCCGGGGGGTGAAGAGTCGGAG